TGGGGAAGCAGGACGAGCCCAGAGGCCGGGGCTGTGCAGTGTGAAGAGATGATTCAGCTCCTGCCTCTTTTCTATTTTACAAACTGAAACTAAACACTAAGAGCCTACCACACTGCAAGTAACATCACCTCTTAAATACACACCATCGAACTTCGGGAAATTTGTAATGAACAAAACAGAGAATTCACACCTTTCACCCCGGTCCACCAATTTTTAATGTTTTGCCACACCCATTTTATCATCCTGCCTATATTCTCTCTGAATCTTTCAGGAGAGGCTGGTTATCAGCTGGTTATCCTGGGACTGTGGACACTCAAGCTCATGTTTCTTGAGAACAACATGGTCCTATGTAGGTCAGCACACTGGGGAGTCTTGCATTCCTGATTCACGCTGCTGTGAGAGTACTGCAGACAGGGTATATCACAGAGCACAAGCTGGACGCCCAAGGCCCCAGTCCAAGGTGGCGCCTCGAAGGCTGCATCCCACTGAGGGGAGGAGGCTGTGTCCACGCATACAGGAGGGTGAAGGGAGAGCTGATTTGCAAACCCTCGGGGCAGTGCCAACCCCTCTGCTGGCAGAGCCCTTGTGACCCAAGCAGGTCTTGTTGGGCTCACATCCCAGTGCTGGGCAACTGCAAGTCGAGTTTCAGCACAGGTTTGGGGGACTCACTGAATCATGACAACAGCACACGGTCACCTGATTTTACAGTTTTCCCCCGCCCCCGCCCTGCTCATGTCCTCCATGACATTTGTACACCTGGTATGGGAGCTTGCACTGCATTCGGTCAGGTGCCTCTTGAGGTCACTCGTCTGAGACAGCTCTTCCACGTCTTTCACCACACTTTTGAAGAATACACACCAGTTACCCCACAAAACATTCCTGGCTTTTTTTCTCCCATACATATTCATGATTAGATTCAGGTTGACACCAAGTCATGATGTCACGTCCTTCTGGGGTCTCTGCAGATGCAAGATGTCCATCACTCCTCATCAGCAATGTTGGCTTTAGACATCTGGCCAACCTGTGGTCATTTCCCCACCAGTTACAAACCTCCCTGCCTTTCATAAAGATCCTGTTGAAAGGCCCTTAAAGATTGCCAATCCAGCCCTCCCCTAGTGTCACTGACGTGGAGTCTCCAGCCTCTGCTGTAGCTTTTGGCAATGGCAACCCACACCGCTACCAGCTGGCACCCATGGGAAGAAAGACTGCTGCCCCCCACCTGGTACCTGTGCTCCCCCACCTGTGTTCAGAGTGGACTCATAGGTTCCTACTGGATTCGGTTTGTTTTGAGGTGCACGTTGTCCAAGGTTTTGCAGGTCGGGGGTGCGCTTCATGCAGCTGCTGTCACTCTAGAGCTGCACAGGCTCACTCTTTCTTCTGTCCTTCTTTACTTTCTATTGTAAGACGCTGTGGGCTCACCTAGTACCTCCCAGGCTCCAGTTATGAATCAATCAAGTCTTCAGGAAACGTTCTTATGATGGATACGGAGTGGTCTTCAGCAAGCAGGCTCTGGACGCAAGTGGGCTCCCAGCTGCCTGATGTCACCACATGGGCCCCACCGTGGACAGATCTAAGAAATGCGCACATGTGGTCTGGCCCCTGAGCCATGTGTGCACAAGCATGTGAGCATGCGTGTGTGTGTGTGTGAAATGAGTTCTGACTGTCCTCTCCAGCCTCAGGTCCAGGTAGGGATCTTGTTGGCCTTTCTCCAGTTCGTGCTGTATCTGCCTCCTTCCATGGTGGAAATTCCAGTTCCCCAACACCTTGCTCCTCTGCTCAAGTGCTCAGGACCCATTGAGTAGTTTAATGTAGTTTAGATTTTGCTATATCCAAAACATTATATATATATATATATATATATATATATATATATATATATATATATATATTTATGTGGGGGGAGAATTCAAAAACTCTGGGGATGAATGGCTGAAGTACTTTGATTGAAAGTTACAAGCACTACTTTCTTATGTTATTCATTTGCAACATGGTTGGGTTCAGGTATTTCTGTTTGGATTTGTCTTATTCCCCTCCCCCATCTGTTATTTTTATTTTGCTTTTTGAATATGTAGAACATTACCATCTTTGCAAAACCCAAATCTAGAAAAAAAGGTTCCTTCTCCTTTTCCTATCCCTCTCCCCGCCTCTGCTGGTCACCAGTTGTATTGTTTTCTGGTTCATCAGTATTTTGTGTGGTTCTGTGTTTTTGCCCAAACAAGCAAACCCCACCCAGCATACAGACCACATGTGCATACTGTCTTTCTGATATAAGAAATAGCTTTTGATACCTGCCACAGCACTTTGCTTTCATAACTTGTGTGTTTTTTAACTCTCAGAGCATGCCCTGGAACACTTCACACTGCTCACAGAGCCGGCCTGGTCTTCACACTCTCACCCACAGTGCTGGCCAAGACTTTGGCTTTTTGCCTATTTTGGGGGGGCAGCGGGGGCAGATAATCACTATCTTTTCATCTACAATGGATCCAATTAAGGCTGAATACTGAATTCTGAAGATGGACCACTAGACTTCCTATTCCTCACAGCAGTCCCTTCGTTCTACAGCCGCCACCGCTGTCCACCTCCAGAGCCTTGTCCTCTTCCACCTGAAACTGTCCCCATCACACATGGATTCCCCCTCCCAGCCTCCAGCACCCACTCTGCTTTCTGCCCGTGAAGTGGCTGCCCAGGCACCTCACATCAGGGACATGGTGGCGTGCGTCCCTAGGTGTGACACAGGCGCTAAGGGGGTGCATGTGCGATGCAGCATCTGTACACGTCCTTCCTTTCCAGGGCAGTGGCACTCACCTGGAGAACAGGGTTGTGCTGTTTACCCACCTGTCTGAGAGGCGAACAATACTACCAGGTATCTGGTTTCCTGTTTCCAATTCCTTCAGCTCCCTGCTCAGTAGTGGAGTTGCTGCAAGTCGTGGCAATTCTACCTTTGATTGTGAGGAGCTGCCACTGGGCCATAGTCGGTGAGCACAGGGGCCGCTCCGCACCACGCTCGGCTGGTACTGTCCAGTGGCTCCTTAGGAATCCTTGGAAAGCCCGTGTGTGGCACCCTCTGAATCCTGTACTGGTTCTCACCTATTGGTCTGTGGCCTCAGTGCTATGGGACAGCAACCTTGGCTGGAGCCCTGCCGCTGTGCCATCCTAATGCCTCATTTCCACATTGCTCTCAGGAAATCTGATGCCAGCCTAATTTCTTATCTTCATGATCTTTCTTGTAAAGTTTAAAAGTTTCACTAAGATATGTTTTGAAGTTGATTATTCCCAACCGTTTTCCCACGATCTATGGAAAGCACTTTGGGTTTATAGATTTAAATTTTCCCCTGTTCCTGCATGATTTCCCCAGTTAATGGTTCCAGTACCCACTCTCTCTCAGCCTTGTGTGCCCATTTTAGAGACTTCAGTTATGTGTACTTTGGTCCTTCTTTTCTGACTTTCATTTCAACAACTTCCCTCTGAGTCTTTTTACTTCTTTGTCTTATTTTCAATTTCTTGATTTTCTTGCCATTCTTCAAAATCCTTTTAATTATTTTCATTTAAATATATTTTTCCTTAGGTAGCTGGTAGTTATTCTTTCTTCCTGGGACAGATTTTGTCTTTATTTCCAATTTCTTTTCTGAATTTGGTCAACTCTCATGGTTTCTTCCTAGTGTTTGTCCAGTCTGTCCCTGGTTTGAAGCTCTTGTTCCAAGCTGTGTGCACACAGCCATCTGGCACCTTGTTCAGTTTGGTGGGTGGAACTACCATTGCTTCCACTTCATGGTTCTTGTGTGTGTGGGGGGGATTTTTATCAGGCCAACCATCATGGTTCCTTTTGTCATCATTAGGAACAGAATTAATTTTCTGTTTTCTTCTTGAGTAGCTTCTTGCCCTTGACTTGAGTTTTCCTGTTCCTGGGCATTTGGGGGCAGGGTTCCCAGGTGGGGAGTGTTCTCTCCCACCTGCTACTGAAGTGCAGATTTCACACATGATGCCGGAAGCTGGAGAGGGGCAGGCTGTCTTATTTCTGCAGGGTCTTCTCACTTCCTTCTTCTCATTCACCCCCAGGCATCCAAAGGGCCTCACCTTTTCCTATGACTCCCGCAAGAAGCAAGGTTTTCTCACAGTTGCCACTTCTTGTCTCCCCCCCCTCCTTTTTTTCTCCTGCAAACTCTCTTCCCCTGATCAATAAAGTATGGACCTGTGGTGTTTCCCCTAAGTCCTTGGCTATAGTGGAGGAGCTCTGTTGGGATTTGTCTTTTCTTCCTTCTTCCGTAATCTAAATCTTCCTGCTTTTGTGGAGGATGTGGGTAGACACCATCAGCAGCTGCCATTATCCTGGGACTCTGATGCTCTTGAAAAACTGGTAATGTGTCAAGTGCTGGTAACATTTCTTCCTTTCTCAGGAACACTGGAAACGTTGGCCCTACGAGGGCATGCCAAGGTTACACTGACGCTGTTAGGACAGAGCTGTTTCTTGCGCGTTTGGAGATGCTTCCTGCAGACTGCGCTCTTCTTTCAAGAAAACACCCCATGGAAAAGAAAAGAGTTAAGAAATTCTGCCTTCCTTCCTTTCAATTTCATGTTTGCTTAACACGACCACCTCCTAGCTATTAAGACGGTTCCACCCAGAAACGCGTGCCTTTGAAAACCACCTTCCCAGGCTCTACCTTAACGCCCCACCTCTGAGTAAACAAAAAAGTGAACCTGACACTGGGGATGGGGGCGTTTTGCTGCAAGCTGAGAACGGAAGCTGCAGCGAGCCGACCGCTTGGTCTGGCCCAGGGCCGGGCCTCGCGCTCCGCCTCCGCCCGTAGCCACCTGCCATTCACGCCGCGCGGCGCTCGGGGGCGGGGCGCCGCAGCCCCGGAGATACGGCCCCGCCCCGGCTCCGCCTCCCCGCGCCGATTGGTCGCCCTTTGCTCCCTGACCTCGCCGCCGGGCCGCGCTTCCTGCCGGGCGCCGAGCGCCGCCCGCTCGCGTCCCCGCGTCCCCGCGTCCCTCGCGCCGGGTCCCGCCCCGCGCCCGGTCCCGCCCCGGCCCGCCCGCGCCCTCCGCCGCCGCCGGCCAGGCTGCAGTCGGCGCCGCGCCGAGTGGGAGGATGCGGCGGCGCTCGCGGATGCTGCTGTGCTTCGCCCTGCTGTGGGTGCTGGGCATCGCCTACTACATGTACTCGGGGGGCGGCTCCGCGCTGGCCGCGGGCGGCGCGGGCAGAAAGGTGAGTGGCCCCGGAGGTCCGCGGATGCCCGGCCCCTGCCTACCTGGTCCCCACCTCCGGCCCCAGTCTGCTTGGTCCCCACCCCTGGCCTCTGTCCCCCTGGTCCCCCCCCCCCCCCCCCCTCCCCCCGCCCCCCCCCCCCCCCCCGCTCCCGCCCACTTTGTGTCTCATCTGGCTCCTGTTCACCTGGTCTCTCCGGGCCTCTGGTCTTATGCACCACCCGACCTCTGTCCATTTGGTTCCCCCACAGGCCCCTTTCCACCTCACCCCCCCCACACACACACCCGTGCCCACCTGACTGGAGTCCTGTCCCCGCTCAGCTTGCGCTGCACGGAGTGTAGGGGAGGGTGCTGGGAGCACAAAGGGGTGCGCAGCGAGCAGAAGGAGAGGCCGTCCTTCTTGCGCGGCGTGGACACTAGGAGTCAGGAGTCCAAGTTTCTTCTCGACTCCTTGGTACAGGCGGCAGCAAACCCTCGTGCCTGCCTCTGGCCACCCTGCAGGCTGTGGTCGCTTGTCTGGCACCCATCTGCCCTTTGGCGCGCTGGGCACAGACACCCGGAGCCACACATGCAACCGCCCCGCCCCGGCTGGCCTCCGCTGTGCGGGCCCTGGTTCTCTCTGCCTAGCGTGGCCCCTGGCCTCCCACGGCGATTCCGTCTCCTGCGTTTGTGTTTCCCAGCCCCACTCCCGGTCCATCTGGATGGGTGTTTTCTGAGCGCCAAGGGCCAAGCCATGAAGCTATGGGGAATACGGGGGCCACTGTGTGGTCTCGCCGCGCGGCCAGTGGGGTTTTGATATCCGCGGACTCAAAGCGCCAAAGCGTTAAGGCCATCCTGTGCCTGGCCAGCCTCTGTGCTGCTGAGCTGCCCTACTTGCTGGAGGGGTTTCTGGGGTTTTACTACCGGCTTTGAAAGCAATCTTATCTTTTCCAAAGTCCTGTAAACCTCATTAGTGACACCAGGAACCCAGAAAGTCAGAGTTGATAGAGGTGGAATTCCTCTGGGTAAGAGTGAGGAAATGAACTTGTAGCCAGCCATCCCATGGGGACTAATGTGGCTTGAGCAGACATCTGGGGAAATCTGAGCCACCATGTTCACACAGGACTTGGTGGTCTCTAGCCATCCCTTCTAGCTTGCCCCTGTTCATTCATTCCCAGCTGCAGTTCTCGACTGAGGCAGGTGGAAGTGTTTGGTTTAGCTCTTGGTGAATCTCATGGATAGCTTTATTCATAGGGGCAGTGTGGGGCGGATGTCTCCATGGTGGTCAGGCTTTCAGGAGCTGACCTGGGCTCTCAGCCCTGCCTTTAAGCTGAATCTCTGCTGATTCTTAAATCCAGAGCAGGCAGCTTTGGAAGCAGTTTGGTCCTTTGAAAACCATATAGTGCTAATCTGGAATGATTTTTACAAGCTTGGCTTCCCAGTGAACTGCTCTGGCCAGTGATATAGCTTGGCCTGCTGGTGAGACCCCTTGGCCTTGCCACTGCCATAGTACAGGGGACTAGAAGGGCAGGTGTGTGGGGTCAGCTTCCCAGGGCTGCTTCCTCAGCCAGGGGCTGTAGCTGGTGGGCAGGGTCTTCTTGTCCAAGCCTTGAGACACCCCTCACCTGTGATTTTTAGCTCAGAAGAGAGTCCAAGGAATCCTTATGGCCAGATGAAGACCAGGGAGAAGAGTAGGGAGGTGACTTTCATGTAGATTGGGGTGCTTTGGGATGCTGTTCTACCAACCAGAAAATTAAATCCTATCCCTCAGAGGGGGGAGGAAGTAAATAAATGCCAGAGCTTTTGCAAATGCAGAAGACTCATTGGCCCAATTGGGTGGATCCTGACATAAAGAAGGGAGGACCAAAGCTGGTTTCTGGAGGCCCAACAGGACCCTGCTGTCTTGGATTCCTGACCTACAGGAGAACTGTGTCCTGTGGATTGTTTCCCTGGGTTTAAACACTGGACGTCTCTTCATGATGAAAGGAAATATGTGTTTTTTTCAGCTTGTGGACATAAATAAGATAGTGGCGTATTCATGTAATAGCAGAATTTAAATACTATACTTTTTTTTAAAAAAAAGAGATAATTGGGTTTATATTTTTTCTTTGTTTTCTGCTGTTCATTTCTGGGATCTGATTCCACATTCATCCAATTTCTCCACATCCTGAGGTTTTTCATGGGGCACCAGGCTTCAGGATTAGACCTCGGGGCTTGTCTGAGGGACATGTATAGGGTTTCTGCTGTTTCAGCAGCATGGCCTGGGCTCTTCACGGTGTACCCTGCCTGTTAAATAACTAAGCACAGAACTGTTATTCTGCATTCGGAAAACTCAAAAAGTCAGCTCATTCGGATTGCAGACTTAACAAACCAAGCAGGAATGAGAGCTGAGAACCAACCGCCTTGCACTTACTGTGAAACTCAGGACTCTGTGCTGAGGCTCAGGATGTGTGTTAAAGCAATCTATGTGCAATTTCACTTAACATTTCACATATGTTTGTGGTGGCCTCCCCTGCCCCATATTTTGTTCTTCTCCCTACACTGATGATTTGCAGTCATGAGGCCACTCCTTTGACCATCTCAAATGCTTTAAAATTTTAATCATGTTAAATCTCCCCGGGGTTCTGGGTTGTTTGGCAGTGGGTAGAGCTGCAGAAGAGAGGAATGCATTTCTGTTTAAGTGAAGTGGCCTCTGGGTGAAGTGTGACTGCCTTGGTAGAAAGGACGGGACTTCCAGTGGGAGACCATGTGCTCTGCTGGGAGAGGACCGGGCATGTGCCTTGGCCTCTTGCTCCCATGCTTGGGGGGCCCAGGGCCTGCAGCATCACTCTTCCTGGGAGCTAGTGTGGGAGCTAAGCCTTTGCTCTGGGGGTCCCTGGCTGGAGGACTGGAGCAGCCTCTTGCAGGAGTTGTTGGGGTAGGGGGTCCTGACATGGGGAGGGACCTCCAGGGACTGGAATAGAGTTCTTCTACTAATTAGAGGAACCTTAGGTGTGCATTTGGGGAAGGAATTCAGGGTTAAGTTGTGGAGGGCTTCAAACTTGTTGGTTCTTGACTTGGCTGATTTAGGGAGCCAGCAACTTTTTTGAGAGGCTAGTAGACACCCATGTGAAGGGAAAGGACACAGTTCACTTGTTGGCACTGAGTGAGACTTACTTTCTTCCTCTTTCTACTTAGTGACCTTCACTAATTTACTGAAGCTCTCTGACCCTCAGTTTCCTCGTCTTTGCATTAGGGATAGCATTCATATCCTGTGGCCTTTTTTGAGGAGTGCATGCTATTTGTGGTTTCTGGTAAATAGTGAATGCTGAATAACTGATATCTAAAAAAAGAGACTAGAAAAAGGAAACCTTCAAAACCTCTGGAAATGGTGTAGCCAGGGTCCTAAGTGTCGTCTGTATAACTGGGTCTCTTTATCCCTTGTCTGTGTCTCTGGGACCAATCTGTTTGGTTTCTTGACTGCATTAATGATGGACTCTGGGAAGTCACCTGCCAATGCCAGCTCTCCACCCAGTGTGGTATCACAGAGGGTTCCCATTGGTGGGCAGCCATCAAGAACGTGGGCCCAGGTGTAGCTTGCCTTGGGGCTTGCTTCTGTAGTGGGAGACTGGTGGATGTTCCCCGAGTAGTAAGTCCTGTGCAGGGGGCTGGCCAGGCTCCCCCAGGCTCCTGCCCTGTCCTCCTGTTGGGAGTGACATTGGGCACAGAAGCATGCTTGGTTTGCAGCTGACATGAGGCCCGCAGTTTTGTAGGTGTTTGCAGGTCCCTGGTGAGCCTGTGGGTAGATGTTGGGGCCCACACTCCCTGCTGCCTCCCCTCAGTTTGCAGTTCAGAGGCCATTCAACAGAGTTGCAGTTGGGAGGACGGCAGGGAAAGCTCCGTGGGGCAGTCTGCAGAGGGCACTGTAAGATGAACTTCCTAAGGAGAGTAAGGCTCCTAGGTATGGAGTTGTGGCTCCCTCCGCTCTGTGTTCAAGCACAGTGGAAACAGATCGTGACTGATAAAGACTGTGGAGATTCTGAGCCCTGCGCTGGGCCCTCAATCAAGGGGAGTGCTCAGAGGGGTCAGCTTGCTCAGGTTGCGGGTTGCTGTCAGGCTCTGGAGCCTGCTTTTGCTGGGTGGGCTCCTCTGCACTCTGCATTGGGAAGAGTGACCGGGAAGTGTTCAGAATAGTGGGCAGTGTGTGCCTTCCTCACTGTTGCTGGTCTCAGGCCTTCTGGCACAAGAGTCGCTTGAGGAAGGTTCCAATTCTGTGATCAAGTGGTGAGGCTGCTGCTCTGCTTGCCCAGAAGCAAGGTGGTAGGTACTGAGGCTGCCTGGGCAGCATTAGGAGCTGCTGGCTGAGGTGTGAGCAGTGGCAGGATGTTCTGAGAAGAGCCCTGGAGGCTCCTGATGGACCAGTAGCCTGCATGTAGAACGCATGGATTTGGCCAGACCCACTCCCCTGTGGCTGTGGTCCTTCCTGGGGAAACCTGTTTGGGGAGCTCTGTGTGCAAGGTGACCCGAGAAATGCAGGTCAGATGGAAACTCCGTTCAGTTAGGCCACACAGACTGTGACTACGAGGTCCTTCTGTGTGGTGTAAATGTGTTACCCAGCAGGCTGCCTTCCCTCTTCAGCAATTGAGTGACTTCTGCCATGATGAGGGAGAGCTGCTGTACCCTGGTGCCCGAGATGATGGCAGGCTGAGGCCTGTCCACACAGGCCTGCTCTTGACCTCAGGGTTGTCTTCCCTCCTGTGTTACGGCTGGTGGTCTTGGGCTTTTGAGTGGTTCTGGGATGGGATGGGCCTGGGCATTTCCTCGGCACATGTGGGTGTGGCTCACTAGGACAGACTTTCTTCTTCTCTACGGTGCCAAGACTTGCTGACCTCTGGCCCTGCAGGTGACTTCAGGGTTAACTCAGTGTGCAGGTGCTAGCCATGTGTAACTTGGCCAAGAAAGTCTCTCCCGCTTTCTCCCTGTCTACAGGGATACAGACGAGGCCTTGGCGCTGAGCAGTCCTTCCCGTGGGCCCGCCCCTCA